CCAAAATTCACCCAAACTTCTTTTGACCTGCAGATAAGTGAGTCTACAAAGCCCGGGGCACGATTTATTTTAGGATCTGCCCATGATGCAGATATTGGTACCAACTCACTACAGAATTACCAGCTCAACCCCAATGATCATTTCTCACTGGTGAATAAAGAGAAACAAGATGGCGGTAAATACCCTGAGCTGGTACTAAAAACGCCTTTAGACCGGGAAGAGCAGAAATCCTACCAGTTGACCTTGACTGCGTTGGACTGCGGGGACCCACCCCTTAGTAGTACTGCCCAGATACAGGTCCTAGTGACCGATGCCAATGATAACCCCCCAGTGTTCAGCCAAGAACTATACAGGGTGAGCGTTCTGGAAAACGTGCTTCCGGGCACCCCTGTGCTTCGAGTGATGGCCACTGACCAGGATGAGGGTGTCAATGCCCAGATCACCTTCTCTTTTACTGAAGCAGGCCAGATCACCCAGTTTGACCTGAATTCTATTACCGGGGAAATTACTATTCTAAGTAGGTTAGATTTTGAGGAAGTCAAAGAATATTCCATAGTTTTGGAAGCAAGGGATGGTGGAGGAATGATTGCTCAATGTACCGTGGAGATAGAGGTCCAAGACATAAATGACAATATCCCAGAAGTGGTATTCCAATCTCTGCGGGATATTATTATGGAGGACACCAACCTGGGAACACACGTTGCTTTGCTTAAAATCCGTGACAAGGATTCTGGACACAACGGAGAAGTTATTTGTAAATTAGAAGGTGATGTTCCATTTAAAATAGTCTCTTCTTCGATAAACACCTATAAATTAGTGACAGATGGAATTCTAGACCGTGAGCAGACCCCTGAGTACAATGTCACTATCACAGCCACCGACAGGGGCAAGCCTCCCCTTTCTTCTAGCTCAAGCATCACCCTACACATCGGCGATGTCAACGACAACCCGCCGGTTTTCGAACAGCCTTCTTACGTAGTCCATGTGGCTGAGAATAATCCTCCTGGAGCATCCATTGCCCAAGTCAGCGCCTCGGACCCCGACCTGGGGACTAACGG